AAAGGGAACCCGGGAGACGCTCTGCACAGTTCTATTTCGGGAAACGCGACTCACTCAGATGCACAGATACACCAACACTATTTATTCCATACGGAGACACACATCTAAGGACGTGTAAACCAAACATTTCTAGCAGGTACACCTGGCAGAGTGGAACAGCCACTGTGCCAGGCCCTTTTTCTGTTCAACAAACCAATGGACCCAACAGCAGGCTGGCACTCAGGAGAGTCCGGTGGCTGCTTGTCTAGGCAGCTGCCTCTCAGAAATCTCCATGTGGACACTCCAGAGCCTGGGGAAGAGGCGCGTTCTGAGTTTCTGGCACAAGGCAGGCTGAGGCTTACCTGGCCAAAGACAGCAGGCTGAGCAACAGGAAGCCTGTGCTTTAAATAAAAACGTTCACACCCTCTGTTGCCAGAAATTCCTTTTTGGGACATCTAGTCTAAGGAAAGAATCCTAAATACTAAAAATATTAAAATGTCTGAAGGCAAAGGATGGGGTGTGTATTCCTGGCACTTAGCAAAGCAGAGACTTGAAAAATACCTGACCAAAGGAAAGTCAGAAGTGCTGGGCCAGATGCACAGCCAGCCGCAGAGATCTCAGAAGTACGGGGGAGAGGAAAGGGAACCCGGGAGACGCTCTGCACAGTTCTATTTCGGGAAACGCGACTCACTCAGATGCACAGATACACCAACACTATTTATTCCATACGGAGACACACACATCTAAGGACGTAAACCAAATGCATTTCAAGCAGGTACACCTGGCAGAGTGGGAAATGGAGGTGAGAGATGGACATGGGTGTTATGAGTGAAGGAGGGTGGGAAAACCAAGAAGGGCCTGGCATGGACTGAAGATGCTATGCTCTGGATCAAGGCATAGCATGGCATAGAGTCAGCCTTTCATCTGAGTCCAGAAAAAAAAAAATGGGTGAATACCCAGTGTTATTTGATGTATTCTTATCTGCAAGAATAAAATTCAGAATAATATTTTCTGTTTAAGATGAGGGGGATGCTATAACTCAACTGAGGTGTATCTGCTTGTAGGGATATTCTGAAGCCAATAAAGACTAATTTTTAGGGATCAGCAGATAGCATAATGGTTATATCATTGGTCTCCCATGTACTCAATGGTGGTTTGAATCCCAGACCTGGCTGCTTAAACTTATGCTGGGAGCATGTGCGTGCGTTTCCAAAATCCTGACAGGAGAATGGAGGAGAAGGGAGTGATTTCTTGCTTTCTGTCTCTGTCTCTTTGGCAAGAGCGCATGTGCCCTATAGAAAACTCTCTCTCGCAGAAAAAGTATTTTGAGGGGCCAGTGTGTTTTTGAGGAGCCCCAGATGGTATAGTCCTTAAGGTGCTGGACGCTCACATAGCTGACCACGATTTGAGTCCTGGACCTTGTAGCTTAATTAAAACTCACTTTGGGCCTAAGTGCATGTGCGTCCAAAATCCTGAGAGGAGAACAGAGGAAAAGGGACTGTGGCGTGGCCATTCCCCTGGGGAGTGATTTCTTGCTTTCTGTTTCTCTGTTTCTGCAATGAGTGTATGCGCCCTATAGCAAAAATCTTGCTCTCAAAAAGAAAAAAAACTTTTTAATTTTTGGAGAGGTTTTCACGATAGGGGGCATGCACTTGCCAGAAAGACAGAGAGAAACAGAGAGATAGAAAGCGAGAAATCACACCCTAGGGGAGATGGCCACACTGGAGTACTTTCTCTTCCATTCTCCTCTTGGGATCTGGGACATCACACGTGCCCAGTGTGAATTTAAGCCACTGGGTCCGGGACTTGAACTGTGGTTGATTACATGGGAATCCAGTGACATAGACGTTACGCCAACTGCTGGTCCCAAAAATATATATATTTTTTGAGAGTTTTTTGCTATAGGGTGTGTGTGCTTGCCAGACAGACATAGAGAGACAGAGAGACAGAAAGCAAGAAATCACCCCCCCCCGGGGGGGATGGCCACGCCGCAATCCCTTCTCCTCCATTCTCCTCTTGGGTTCTTGGGCACGCATGCACAAACAAGTGCCTGGTGTGAGTTTAAGCCACCAGCTCTGGGACTCGAATTGTAGTCGACTACACGGGAGTCCAGCAACACAGCCATTACGCTAACTGCTGATCCCCACAAAAAGATTTTTGATTCAACCATGACAGAGTGATGAAATGGGAAATAGGTGATAAACATTCTGTTTCTATTTCTGAGACCCAGCAGTGGTAGTGCATGCAGGCAGACACTGCTATGAGCAGGCTGACACGTGTGAGACCCGGGTTCTATTCCCACTGTACTCTAAAAAGCCAGGCGTGGTGGCATGTGCCTACAGCCCCAGTTCCTCAGGAGAGTGAGCAGGAGCCTCATGACACAGTAAAACTCTGTCTAAAAGAAGAAAAGTTTTTTTATTCATTCACAGAGTCGTAAAAACTAAAAATTTTGGTGCTACTCAACACAGCTGAGTGTATGGGAAGTTGAGCATACTTGAAACTCTTCGTGGGAATGTAAACGGTACGATCACTCTAAAAGGCAATTTGGCGTTGTCTGTCCAATTATGAATGGATTTGCTGTTTGACCTGTAACCTACACCCTGGGTACAGCTGAAGAAAATATGTGCATGTGCCAAAATATGTGTGTGTGATGTTCACAGCAGTCTTGCCATGACAATCCAACAGTGGACACCCCTAAATACCCTGGGGTACACTGTATAAGACAGAACCTTGAGCAGCTATAAAATAACGAAGTAGATCTGACCATGTCTTTTTTTTTTTTTTTTTTGAGGGAGATTTTTGCTATAGGGTATATGTGCTCACCAGAGGGATAGAGAGAGACAGAGAGATAGAAAGCGAGAAATCACTTCCCAGGGGGTTGGCCATGCTGCACTCCCTTCTCCATTCTCCTCTTGGGATTTTGGGCACGCATGCATATGTGCCCAGCACTGAGTTTCAGGCCACCAGATCTGGGACTCAATCTGTGGTCGACGAGGTGGGGGTCCGGCACCTTAAACACTATGCCATCCCCTGGTCCCAGATTTGACTATGTTTATACAAAAACACGTCTGTGATAAAAACTGTATGTTTGATATGTACATTTTTTTTAAAAAAGAGATTTTTTTTTGGCTACAGGGCACATGCACTCACCAGAAAAACAGAGAGATAGAAAGTGAGTAATTAGCCCCCTGGGGGGATGGCCACGAAGCAATCCTTTCTCTTCCATTCTCCTCTTGGGGTTTTGGGCACACAAGCACATGCACCCAGTGTGAGTCTTAGCCACTAGGTCCAGGACTCGAACTGCAGTCAACTACATGGGAGTTCGGCAACACATTACACCATCTGCTAGTTCCCTTAATTTTTTTTAAAAATGTAAACGTAGATGAGTGTATAACAGATTCACCAAAAACTATACTGGGGAGAGGATCACGGCTCATCTATACCTTTCCTTAGGGTGGAAAAAAATTTTAACTATGTATGTGTTTTAAAATGTAGAGTCATCCTAGATGATTTTCAACAACCAAGAAAAAAGTGCTTGTGACTTACTATTAAAAAAACAGAGGGCCGGGACCAGCAGGTGGCATGGTGGTGAAGGCGCTCTACATTCCCACATAGCCAACCACGGTTCGAGACCTGAATCTGGTGGCTTGCTTTCTCGCTTTCCCTCTCTCTCTGTCTCTCTCTGTGTCTGTGTTTCTCTGGTCAAATTAAAATAAATGAATGAATAAATAAAATTAAAACAAAACAAAACAAAACAAAACAAAACCCCAGAGGGCCAGGCAGTGGCATGGTAGTTAAGGCAGCTGAATCCCACATGGCCAATATGTAGTTTGTCCCAGACACAGTGGCTTGAAAAACACGCTAGGTGTGTGTGCATGTGTGCCTAAAATCCCAAGAGAAGGGACTGTGACATGGCCATGCCCTCTTGGGGATGTTTTCTCATTTTCCCTGTCTGTCTCTCCAGCTAGAGTGTGAGCATGTGTACTCTACAGTAAACTGAAAATATGCTTACTGGGCCAGCAGATTGCGTGGAGGTTAAGGCTGCTGGATCCCACATGGCCAACTTAGCAGTTCATGTCCTGGACTAAGTGGCTTGAAAAATCACACTGGTGCACCTGTGGGTGTGCCCAAAATCTGAAGATAAATGGAAGAGAAGGGACTATGGCAATGGTTACCCCTCCCCCCGGGAAGGATTTCTCTCTCCCTCTCTCTCACCCAATCCAGCAAACCTAGGCATCCTATGGCCAAAATCATATCAAAACAAAACAATGATTAAAAGTCTGAATGGAGTTGTGCCAAAATATGAAGAGTGACTACCTGTGTTGAAGGATTTGTTTTGCTCTCCTGATATACTTTTAACTTTTCTGATTATGTTACTTTTATAATCAGAAAACAGTACAGTTAAATGAGATAAAAAAGCTTAGGGAGAGTTTGCAGTAACATGAGAAATGGTCGTGATGTTATTAGTATGAAGTGAAAAAAGCAGCTACAAACAGAATACACCATGTGGTCACAGCCGTGGAGAAACCATGCACGGGGAGAAACAGTGGAAGGACACACCTCCGCAGGGCAACTGTGACTGTCTCTGGTAGTGGGGTTTTGGATGGCTGCTGTTTTTCCCTTTTTACTTTTCTGTATTTTCCAGGTTTTCAACACTGAGCCTGTGTAACTTTTATTGGGAAAATAAACCTCGATAAATTAAACAAAAAAAGGCGATTAGTATGGTAGAGGTATGTCGGAGACACAAGCTACACCCCATCCCAACATAAACAGTACCACGAAACAACTGTATCACGAAAACCAAACAAAAAAACCACATGGGAAAAAGCAAGACTGGTGGGAGAAGGTCCCAAACACTGAAGCAGTTATCTCTGGGTGTTATCTCTGGTCTACGAGTGATTCAGTTATTTTCCTTTGCTCTATTTTCTATAAATGAACATGCATGGTTCCTGTAATGGGAGAAAACCAAAACAAAACAAAGCTATTTAAACCAAATGAACAACAGATGGCAGTAGACTTACTTTGAAAAAGAGGTAGAGCCCCAAGAGCGTGCAGCTGGCGATGATGGGGAAGCGGGCGGCGTCCCGGCTGGTGATCGTTTCGGGCATGTCTGAGGCATTCTAGGGGAGAGCAGAAAGCAGGGGGTGAGGTCCTGGCCCCCATAGTTACTGGTGGGATAGCTCGTTCATCTCCATCCCTCCGGTTCCGGTGTACTAGGTGCCCTGGGGACTCCGCGTCTTTTCGGCCTTCCGGCTTTCACTGTTCCCTCTGTGAGGGATGCTGACTCCCTCACCTGGGGCACGATGCTTGGATCCCACCCTTTGTCATGGAGCTCTGCACCCGGTTAGGGACAGTCTGCAGAGAACTGGCGTATGTGTGGCATACCTGGGAGAACTATGGTGGAGGTAGTCACAGTGTGTAAGAACTGAAAGGGGGGCCAGTAGATGGTGTAGTGGTTCCATGACAGGACTCCCACTTGGCCGACCGCAATTCGAGTCCCGGACCTGGTGGCCTGAAACTCATGCTGGGTGCATGTGCGTATGTGGTCAAGATTCCAGCAGGAGAATGGAGAAGGGATTACAGCATGGCCATCCCCTCGGGGGTGGGGTGGGGTGATTTCTCACTTCCCCTCTCACTGTCTCTCTCTCCAGTGAGTGCACGTGCCCTAAAGCAAAAACCTCTACCAAAAACCCCCCCAAACAAACAAACAAACAAAAACAAACTGAAAGGGGAAAAAACCTAAAGACTGGTGACACTAAAGTGGTCCTAGACCTCAAGAGAACTGTTTCTGGTTTTCTCACAGATTAGATAAGAGGGAAATATGACTAGTAATTTTTTTTTTTTTTTGAGAGATTTTTGTGATAGGGTACATGTGCTTGCAAAACAGACAGAAAGTGAGAAATCCCCCCCCAGGGGGGATGGCCTGCCACAATCCCTTCTCCTCCATTCTCCTCTCAGGATTTTGGGCACACATGTACATGTACCCGGTGTGAGTTTTAAGTCGCTGTGTCTGAGACTTGAACCGCAGTTGACTACATGGGAGTCCAGTGACATAACCACTACACCATCTGCTGGTCCCACGACTAGTCTTTTATTTAGTACGTAATGAATATTCTGAGTAGAAATAAACCAACAACTAACCGAATGGAGAAGGGCTAAAATTGCATGTGGGAAGACACCAACTGCAAAGAGAAGCAAATCTGGACAAAATTTAAGAAATCAGACTGGGAGACTTGAACACGGTGAAAATAAAAGCCGCAATTAAATTTATATTGGCAGCTGCTACAGTTGGCAAGAATGTGATGTCAGTAAGGAGAAGACAAAGGATAAATATTTACATGAAAAAGCAGTGAATGCAATCAAAATAATTTCAGTATTACAAAAATGGAAAAGAATTGAAAATGGACTAACAGCATAACATAGGAATTAAATCTGCTTCAAAGAATTCATGCCAAGAGACTTCCTAATGAAAATTCATCGATAGTAGCATAGTTCTGGTTTAAATTTATACTCAAAACAGTCAAAAGCTTCAAGGGTCACAAAGCTCTCTTTACGTCCTCTCTCTGCTAAGCAGAATGCTCAATGTTCTTGAGGGTCCAGCAAATGTCACCACCATGAAGCCCACCCAAATTTCCCCACTGGGAAATGCCTACTTACCTACTATTTTCTTTCCCTTTTAAAGATTTATTGCCATAGGGCTCATGTGCTCACAGAGAGAGAGAAAGAGAGAGAGAGAGAGTGAGAGAGAAAGAAATCACCCCCCGGGGCCATGCCATAATTTTCTCTTCTCTTGGGATTTTGGGCACGCGCATGCATCTGGTGTTTTTCAGGCCACTGGGTCCAGGCGGGACTTGAACTGTAGTCGGCCATGTGGGATGCAGTGCCTTCACCACACTACCTACTGGCCTCACTTCCCAGCTATTTTATGTCGCAGCTAACTAAAGTCCTAGCAATGCCAGATTAGGCTTCCACTCATGCCATAGTGAAGCTCTTCCCCAGGAGCCACCAGTTCATCACAGTGCCATTTCCGAGATCATACCATTTCCCTGTCTCTTGTGAACAAGGCACCAGCATTCCTGGGGGAGGGATCGCATTCAGCTAAGGAGTCTTACCGGCATTTTGGCTCACAGAAGGCTTTTATAAATGCAACAGGTGGGGCCACCTGGTGGTATGGTGGTTAGGGTGGCTGGATCCCACCTGACTGACTGTGAGGTTTGAGTCCTGGGCCCTGTATCTTGAGGAACATGCTGGGCTTGTGCACACACGTGCCCAGAATCCTGACAGTACAACAGAGGACAGGGGACTGAGTCACGGCTATCCTCCCGTGACTTCGCTCTCTTTCTGGTGAGTTCATACATCCTATAGCAAAACTTAAAGAAAAAACAAACAAACAAACAAAAAACCAAAAATAAGAGAAAGGCCAGGTGGTGGTACAGTTATAACTCAACTGGACCTACATGAGAAAGGTCCCGGGTTTGCTTTTCAGGTGGTCCCCGAACACGCTGGGCGAAATGCGCATGCCTGTGACATAGCCTGGCTGAAACTGAGGGTGAGCTGCGGCCTCAAGACCTGTTAGTGGTCTTCTTCTCTCTCAAAAACAACCTACATACACAGGAAGAAACATGGTAGAGGGAAGCTGTCTGGAAAGGGTAGATTTTGTCTCAGCAAGGCCCTTGAACCCTAGGTGGCAAAAGGAGCAGACAGGGGCACAGGGCAGCAAAGCCCCTGAAACGAATGATCACTCAGAGGAGGGTGTGGGGGACAGGGATGCGTATACCCTGTTGGCTTGCGTACGAACCTGTCCAGGTTTTGGGGAGAGCAATTGGCAGGGTGGATCAAATTTTAATTTGCTCATGCTCGAGATTCATAGGACAAGAACTAAGAACGGCTCTTAATCATAGGGGGGAAAAGCTCTTTCTCATTCCCGCTAAGAGAAGCTCAAATTAAAACCCACTGAGATTCTAGTTTTCATCGACTGAAAACTGGTATCACTGAGTTGGTGGGGCTGTGGGGGAAGAGGCAGTTTCCCACAGCACGCACAGGGAACCT